GGCATAGTACAAAACATGGACTGGACCCATGGACTGGACCCATGGACTGGACCCAAAATTGGACCCAAAATTGGACCCAAAATTGGACCCAAAATTGGACTCAAAATTGGACTCAAAATTTTAGCCAAAATTTTGCCAAAAATCCATTATTTTTTCGGAGAGAAACAACCCTCAGAATATCGTGCTTAATTGATTTAATTTGTATAGGCAAAAAACTTCACGTTCCATCACTTTTCCTTGACCTATCTAGCTATTTGTCTTCCAAAATTCTATATTCTATTTTCTAAACGTTATCTAGGGTATCTCGTAAATAATAAACCTTTGTGAAATATCTTTGCGCAATGGTCACAAATACATCACATCGATATAAATCATCCATCAATATACACATCAATATATAGTTATTTTAATTATGTACATTTTGTGTCTGTATAATACGCCCTCTATATATTCCGGCATATATATCCTCTAATGAGTAACGAGTTCGCAAAGTTTGTTTTGTCCATATATTCTAATATTTATTGCAACTAGCTATATGTGGGCTTATCATTATGCATATAACAAATCCTATCTCTGATGATGGTTCTGAAATAGAATTGAAACACTGCGCGTCCTCTAAGACAAGCGTTAAGTCGTCACGAAAATATTTCGTGCACTTGGATAAGACTCGCTACCATTACCGATCCCTGTTGACTCGATAGCTCAATAGGTAGAGCGGCGGTCTAGATACCCGAAGATGCGAGTTCAAATCCCGCTCGAGCCAACGAATTTTTCGTTGGTCGATTGCAGTGCCAGATTAAATATGAAACTAGTTTTTCGTATCTCTGAGGATGGTTCTGAAATACACTATGTGAATAATGATAAGCCCACATATAGCTAGTTGCGATAAATATTAGAATTGATATGGACAAAACAAACTTTGCGAACTCGTTACTTGTTAGCTAGGATATATATGCCGGAATATATAGAGGGCGTATTATACAGACACAAAATGTATATAATTAAAATAACTATATATTGATGGAATGATTTATATCGATGTGATGTATTTGTGACCATTGCGCAAAGATATTTCACAAAGGTTTATTATTTACGAGATACCCTAGATAACGTTTAGGAATAGAATATAGAATTTTGGAAGACAAATAGCTAGATATTAGATAGGTCAAGGAAAAGTGATGGAACGTGAAGTTTTTTGCCTATACAAATTAAATCATAGCACGATATTCTGAGGGTTGTTTCTCTCCGATAAAATAATGGATTTTTGGGCAAAATTTTGGTTAAAATTTTGAGTCCAATTTTGAGTCCAATTTTGGGTCCAATTTTGAGTCCAATTTTGGGTCCAATTTTGGGTCCAGTCCATGGGTCCAGTCCATGTTTTGTACTATGCCGTCTACACATGCAAAAATCTCACATCTTGTAACAAGTTTGTCAACAAGCCGTCAACAAGTTGTCTTCGCACTGCTTGTCACAAGTTGTCAACAAGTTTGGAACAAGCTGTTAACAATTTGTAACAACCTTGTTGATATTATCAGGCTTGTTACAAGGTTGTTCCAACAAGTCTGATACAGTCATGATATAGCAGTATTGTTATACAACCTTGTGTCGTCAAGTTCTAGGGTTGGGCGATATTTCGATATTTTGATTTATCGTGATATTTTCAATCGTGATTATCGTATCGAAGGTAGAAACTTGAGCAACGATATATCGAAATTATCGTCAAGCTCGTTGACTATCGTGATATTGCTTCGCATGTGTATATAGCTTTTATATAATCCTAAAAAATTCCTTCAATTTCTAGAAAATATAGTTTTTAAAAGAATTAATCTGCTGAACAATGAAATTGCATGCTATTCTTGCGCCTGTGTGCCCACGGCATTTGTGTCCGTGGAGACACACTAGACACTGCATAGACAGTTCAGGTTTATGAACAGTAAAAATTAGACAAGAAAAAGCCTTCTTATTACTTTAATTTGTTGTTTTATTGTCATTGTTTTTATTGCATTTATCGCGATATTATCGAATATCGCGATAATTTCCTCCACAATATTCGTGAGATGATTTTTTTAATATCGCCCAACCCTATCGTCAACCTTGTAACATTCTTGTTTATCATGACTGTATCAGACTTGTTAGTCTGATGATGCCATCAAGCTTGTTACAAGTTGTTAACAGCTTGTTCCAAACTAAGATAATAAATCTGGGAATATGCTTGTTCCCACAAGCAGTGCGAAGGCAACTTGTTGACAGCTTGTGAACAGATTTGTAACAATTTGTTTGCAGACTTGTAACAACTTGTGCGTTTTTACGTGTGTACTATAAGGTTTCTATAATACCAAAATTCTACTTACATCCAAGCATCGCTCAACCAGAGCGCCCAAATCTGCATCAAGATTTGTCAGATCTTGCAATGCTTTCTAAATAATTGACTATATAATTAGACTTTGTACATATACTTTAGTGGACCCCAATAAAGACAATAATAATAATAAATTAGAGAAATCCAATGTTGAAATTTTTTAGAAACATTCTCGCGAAAAGCAGAAACTTTAAAATCGTTGTAAGATTTGTAGAAAGTAAATAACTTCAGCATACTTGCACATTCTTCCAATGTTCGAAGAGTAGTTGCAAAAACAACATTCCCAAACTATATATGTCAGCTGGACGGCCATGGGCACGTTGCTCATAGACCTGTGCAAATGAAAAAAAAAGTTAAACAGATATATCTGGCACCTTAAACACGGTAGAAAATTTATAGATAATCAGCTTATGCATGTATACAATGATTCCCAGGGGCTTTCACGGTTCCGACCACAAATAATGAAAATACAATGGCCAAACTCTGTCTTCATTAGAAAGACGAATATAAAGTAATAAAGTATAATTTAAATTGCGTGCCTCTCTGACATCGGACAAAAATAACATAAATGGTTAAATAAATTCGGTACTTCTGGGAAAACTTTAAATTACAGGTTCTGGTGCACCCAAACATCTCTCTACCTTATCAAATCTCTATCCAAAAATTTCAAGAAATGCATAACAACTTCACACTCCTCTGCAGAGCCTTACGAATTTTTAGTAAAATTACGTAACATTGCTGGGGGAAAAAATTACGTAATTGTTAGTCAAAACGCGCTAGGTATGATGGGAAGACGGGACCATGGGTCTCAACCCCCCGTCGTGCACCACTAAATGTCCTCTACTATCCCTAGATTATACCTACAATCCTATATAATTGACTCTGCGGAGGAGTGTAACAAGTTAGTAACAATGGCTTTTACAACTACGAAACCTTCGTTAGTTGGACATGATTTTCATTTGGAGTACCCAAAGAAAACCCACGACTTTTGGTAAAGCATTGAGTGTCCGCATAGTCCTAGACTTGCTCCAAGTCTCTCTTTCATTGTCATATAGTATCGATCCACTATAGTGTACATTACATGACGTAGTATGGAGGGGCGGAGCGAGAAAGAGAGACTTGTCAACTTCGGAAAATCTCGGTTCAAAACTGAACCGAAAATGCAAGACTTGCTTTAATTGTTTTCTGTCAGTGTTTATATGTATTGATCTAGCACAGTGTAAATAACATGAGTTCCATTATAGTAAATAATACAGAAAGAAATTGAAGGAAAACAATTAAAGCGAGTCTTGCATTTTCGGTTCAGTTTTGAACCGCGATTTTCCGAAGTTGACAAGTCTCTCTTTCTCGCTCCGCCCCTCCGTACTACGTCATGTAATGTACACTATAGTGGATCGATATGACAATGAAAGAGAGACTTGGAGCAAGTCTAGCATAGTCCATGCAGTCCCTCCTCTGGCCGCACGGCATGGTGGAGAAGTAGGATTGTCCGCAGCGAGAGAGGGAACACGCGATCTCAGAAATGAAAGGCTCTGGCACTGACACGATTGCGCCACCGAACTGGGATTGGCAGAAAAAAAAGGGGAATATGTTAACAACCAAATTTGCATGTCTACTATTTGATGACGTGTCTGCCAGGAGTGGCTGGATCGTGGCCGCTTCGAGTGATCATGTTAATGCCACAATTACATTAGGGCGCTTTCCATTCAATGGCCTGACCGGTCAGAACCGAATTTTTGTCTCTGTATCAAAGGAAAGATCTGGTCTATGTTTCTCAAATATCTAGCGAAAATGGACCTCATTCTAATGTTATCAAAATTTTCCGGTCAGATAGGTCCGAAGCCCAAATGTTTTGTGTTTCATTCAACAATTTAACCGTTCTGACCGGTTTGGCCGTGTTAATAGAAAGCGCCATTACATTACCTCTGGTGCCATGAAACAACGTGTTCCAGCGGCAGGTAAACCACTTTTGGTATATTCACCAGGTAAACATTTAACCAGCCCAAAATCGGCGAGTTTTACCCGGATCATATTGTCGCTGATCGTGAGCAATACATTGGCGGCTTTTATATCCTTGTGGATGGCATGTATAGAATCAAAATGGAGAAATATTAGAGCAGCTACAACTTGGTGCCAATAGAAGAGCGCTTCTCCTTTTTCCAAGGCTTTACCATCCTTCCAAAGTTGTTTCAGAAAATCCTTCATGGACATATCTACAAAAAAACCCAGCAGTTGATTAGTTTCACTCATCCGGTACAGGGTGCGACAATTCGCGCACTTACGTACCGGAGGTACGCCAATATTACGGTCTGGTACTTCATTTTTTCAACCAAGTACCACGTAGGTACACGGAACTCTTGCTATCTGCGTACTCCAAGGTATACAAAACCGTAATTTAGTCGGTATATACATATGTCTGACATGACATGACATGTCCTGGCATTAAACATGACTGGACTGATGGCATGCACTATGGAACGTTGGAGTCGGATGTAGTGTTTGTGTATGCAATGGACGACTTGCGCTTTAGAAAAATTTTTAATCTGGGAATAACAAAGGATACTATCGGAAAGAAGTTATCAAAATTAGAAAAACTGCAAACTTTGGTTGCGAAATGTTGTAAAATACGGAAAATATGGCCCTGCGAAGTTGGCAAATTTGTATACATTTCTATTACGTGCATGCGGAAATTGGTAACTAATTTAGTTACCAATTCACTCACGTAATACAAAAGTATACAAATTTGCCAACTTTGAAGGGCTATATTTTCCGTATTTTACAACATTTCGCAACCAAACTTTGTAATATTACCAATTCCAAGAAGACGCTCTTTCTTAGCTGTGGTGATAGATTTCGTTGTTCTTACTTAGATTAAAATTTAGTCTAAAGCGCAAGTCGTCCATTGTATCGCATGCTGCATCCAGTCGTTCCGACCATGAGTTATTTCAGCCCCAGTCGACTTGTTGCATAAGATCTTTGCTTGCCAAAAATTACTGTTTTTGAAAAGTCTTAAAGGCAAAACGACCTGGGTTCTTAGATTTTATTACAAGTTAAGTCATATTCAGCTCTTGCAGTATGACGTATCATAAAAACCCCGCCATTTTGGATAGCAAAAATCTTTTATTCAACCAACTACAACACAGCCACAGAGTAGATAAGACATGCAGAGACGTAACTGACCGTTGTAAACACTGCGGAAGATTACGTTATCATGTACCCACCTTTTTTTCAGGCGACTGGGCGAAAAATGATCAACTGCGCGTGCTCAGCAAGTTTAAAGTGAGTCGTCATCAGGTCGTCATCCAATCAGATGCATGCATCTAATAACTAGCATGCGCACAAAAAAGTGGGTACACTAGTTACGTCTCTGTATATCTCTACTCTATGACACAGCTGTGGACTATTATAACTCTTCAAAGTGCTCAAAGAAAAGCAATAACGGCAGCCAGTGCCACAGTCCTGCTTTGAAGCCATATGTTGGAGTTTAATTAAATATTTTTACGATTGCAGCAGTAAAATTGTTAGACAATGGTTCTGATGAATTTTCAGACAGGTACGCCAATAATCCAGCTACTTCTGTAGCTGGATTATTGGCGTACCTGTCTGAAATTCTATCAAGTAGGATTCAAATAAGTTATGTAGATGTTTGCTTATTCACATCCATGGATAGTTAATAATTACACCCTTACCGCACTTCTCCATAATTATTCTGTGTGTGAATTTATTCTCCTTTTTCTGCACAACCAGGAGAGTTTTAACAAAATTTGGATGAGTTGCAGTTTTTCTGAGAACATACATTTCATCCGCTGTGACAATTGCCTAAAAAGATTTGGTGTTTAGTAACTTGATAACCATACCACATCAAATTTGGGGCACAGTTCCATGCACACACACATGCGATGTTTGAGTACAAAATGCACACATAACAGATCCACAACAAGAGATCAACAGATCTGTCAACTCGTCTGATTTCGTCGGATGTCACGTGATTTATTAGCAAATCTCCAGGGGACGGTTGTTCGAAAGCAGAATACCTTAACCCCAGGTTAATCTAAAATCCAAAGCAAACTTCCTAACAGCTTTTTTATAAATTTAGAAATAGTAAAAACTAAAGAAGCCATCTTATTCAAACAAAGTTTTATTGAACGCAGTAATGTCTAACTTAAATTTTGATGTATGCCTTAAACATGTGTATAGAATATTAGTATAAACCTACTAGTAGGCTATCACATATCGTGCCTTCTGATTGGCTACGCTACTATAGTAGGCTATTAGTGATAGCCTACTAATAGCGTTTTGCACTTTTGCCGAAGTGCATGTCTGATGATTTTTTGGACGACTTGTTGAACAATTCTGTACTAAAAAAGCCCGAAAAGAGCAATACAAATATGGAATGGCAATTTTTAAGGGTAAGAAAATAGACAAAATAACATACACTCAATGAAATTTTAAAATAAAAACTGAATTTTGCAAAACACTTTACGCGAACAAAAAATAAAATATTTGTTTACCTTTAATGGTTTTATAATGTTTTTTTGTGTATTTTTGTATTGTGTTTGCAGCCTAGTTGTAAATTAATGTTAAAGTTTATACTAAAACAATTAGACAACTCGGCCTCGTTTTCCATGAGCAAATAGTCAACTCGGCTTCGCCTCGTTGACTATTCGCTCATAGACAACGAGGCCTCGTTGTCTAATTGTTAATTAGCCGAGATATGGGCGTGTCCATACGAGACACGAGATGTCCTTTCTGTATCTATAAACAGCTCTAATGAAATTAGAATCTCTCAAAATTTTTGAAATCGCGTTTCACGGAAAATTGCTCTTTAAATCTCGTTACACGTAAAATAAATAAACGATTTCATATGATTTACGAAAAATAAAATAGCCATTTCATATTTCAGGGAAAAATAAAAATGGCAATTCACGCTTCACAATATATAATTTTGTAAAGGAATTTTCCCCCAGGTCTGGTCCAAACACTATACAATATGAACTTTGCCATTGTAACACAGACTGTCAATTCTTACATCGGTCAAAACAGTCAAAAGTAACTCTGCTCTAAATATTTAAGAGGAGATTTTTTTGTACGTTACGTAACACACGCTCAAAACTAATGCGTATATAATAATCACTTGAGGTTATGACTAAATTCATAATTTTTATTTTTCGATATGTTTCTCAATCGGCAAACAAACTTAAAAAGTATGTTTAGTGCTTTATCTGTGAAACAATGGTAAAATGAAGAGATTTTAGATGATACGCCAAACAGAAAATGATGTCTGAAGTTCAGTAAGTTGTGCTTATATGGCTGTAAATATGGCGTCAATTTTAAAGCATCATTGATATTTGTACTTTAATTGTCAATTTTTTACTATTATTTTATGTTTCTCAACCGACAGATGCATTTAAAAAGGTAGCTAACTGTATAAACTAGACAATAAAACTAAAACAAAGTAATTTTGAGAGGAACGCCAAAAAGATTTAAGGTTTTGAATACTTTTCATTGCAAACACGTGACATTGAAAAAATTGCCTCTTAACTTAAGCAGGCAAAGTCATATTTGTATTCCACAGTCAAAACGATGAGATCGAGCGCAGCAATTTTTATCTTAAACCGCAAATATAAAACTTTGTCGACTTTACAAAATATTGTTTAAATACAAGCTAGTTAGTCGATCTACAGAATAGTCTGAGCTTTATTGAATATATAGGGTTAGGGTTATATTCAGAGATCGTTTCTTTGGGATTATCTCATTCAACTTCACTTGAAAACTTGTTTTCCAACCAAAACCACGATTCCTGACAGGGCAGGAAAAAAGAATTTTCTTCTAGCTGGGAGCACTCCCTGTAGACAAAAATTTCCTGCAGACCAACGGAGTATTTTGTGCTAAATCTGCATGTGCATAAACATATAGTGTTCTAGCTGACCTTGGTTTTAAATTCAAGGAATAATGTCTGACAACCATGTTGTTGTGCCCATAGTGGGACATAGGTGTTAAGGTTTCCTTCAAATTTTCAATAGCAAATCATCATTCAAACGAATTTCCTGCAGCTGTTTAACATGTATTCGCCTATTTTTTCCATCCCCTGATTCCTGATTCGATTCGACAACGCGACGCGATTTTTTAGTTTTTGAAACTAAGTTAATAAAACAGCCAATGAGAGCAAATTTTGAAAGATATAGGTAGACCAAATAACTCAAAATGTTATAGCGCTTCTAACTTTCAAACTGGGATCAAAGTTATCGGTCAGTGAAAATCAAAAAATCGCGTCGCGTGGTCGAATCGTGTCCAGTGTGTATGGACCTTAAGAGCTCACCTTTTTGAGTACAAGGCGTGGACAACTTGATCCAAAGTATTTTTCTTTGATTGACCATGGCAACTCAATATGGTGAACCTCCCCAAAACCACCCTTGGCAAAATATCTGTCATCTTCAAAGTAGAAATGCTCCAACTCCTTGAAGTGACTTAGATCATCAAAACTATCGTGATTCTAAAATCACAAAACTATTTTCATTAAAACAGATAAATGTATATACACGAGACACACTTGCATAATGCACACAAGGATTAAAAATTAACCTAAAATGAACATGTTCTTTTGTGACAGTGTCTTTGACTCATAGTCTCATACTTCAGAAAATTTATTTTTTAGTGTTTCATTGTTATAATCAGCCAATTATAAAACATATTCCTGTGGCTTTTTCGAATGACCCCAAGGTTGAAGTTGACAATGACTCAGCTTTCAAGATAGCTAGGTCACATAGTCAGCCTCAGTTCAAGCTATTGTTTCGTGCATGTGCACTCAAATTCAGAAGTGGCCATTGGTAATCATGATCAGTAGCGTAGCCAGCCCAACGATTTAGTCCCGCTATGCAAACAGGCCTTAAAATATCGGTCGGTGACTGACATTGTCCGACCCATTCGTGAAATTGTCCGACGTAGAAAGGAAACCACCGGACATTCCGTCCGACCTAAGTGAAACTGAGGTTTATTGTTTGTCCGACCCGAGTGTATTGGTGTCCGACCGAACTGTAGCTTTGTCCGACGTAAATCAAAATGTACCTTAGCCCAGGACTAGAGGCTTGTATGTTAAATGGAAAATCAGAGTACTATTGTATAAAAGGTGATGGAAATGTTGACATGTTGTTTTAACGTAGTCGAGCGCGGGGCGGCGAGCGAAATGGTGAAGTGGAAAACGGACTTAAGTTGTCGAAGTCTTTTTGATACTGCTGTTCTGGAAAGCAAGTTAATTTTGGCTTGGAAATAAGTATGAAAGAAACAAATTATCTTTACAACATTTACCGTTTATTCATTTGTGTCATTCAGACTTATTTCCGAGTCAAAAATGAACTGAAGGTCATCGGACATATGTCCGACCCAAACTCAACGTCACCGGACATTTTGTCAGACGGCCCTGGAAAAGATATTTTAAGGCCTGCAAACTGTAAAAACAATCAATTTCTAAAAAAATGAATAATCATAATAATTTTGAATTTGCATAGCGGGACTAAATTGTCAGGGGCTGGCTACGCCACTGATCATGATAAGAATTGAATTAGAATATGACCTACCTTCCAAATGATTAAGTCCTCTGACTCTGTTCTTCGCTTCATCAGCTGACAAACATTTTTAATTGCCAGTTCCCTTTCTTTATATCTTTATTAATTAAAACATAAAAACACATAAATGAAACTAACTGTACTGAATGATCTATTGAAACTAGTGATGGATGCCAGCAGATACGTATTCAACTGGAATATGGGTGAGATAAAGATTTATCACCAATCGTCCTGTTAGAGGTTCAGTCGTCTTTCTTTCAAGCAGAAGCTGTGATGAAATTTTTGTGTAGACTTTGTTTAGATCTGCGAGTTTTCAACATTTTTCGTTTAAACTTGGTCAGATAGTAGAACTAGTCTAATGCTTTCATGGAAACCAATAAAAAATTTTTAGGCAAAATTAACACTCAAAGGTGTTCTGTAACCTTAGCCAATCCGATGTGTTTAACCTACCCGATTGACCAATCAAATGCGTATTAATTAAGCCTGTGGCTGTGAGAGGAAGTGGTAGCAGAAGTCAAATCTGAACCGCTCCAAAGTTTAAAATATGCACAATACCATGCAGTTACAGGTAAACTACGTGAAGCGTTCCTCTTTTGACTTCGTAACTCATTTGGAATTTTCCTCATTAGCTTTGCAAATTTGAAAAACTCTTTGCAAATCCCTTGAGGGAATTTGCAATGTTCCTATCGGCTGTTGCAATATTCCAAACTTCATTTTAAATTTTCCTAACTTCCTGTTTTAATTTCCTAACTTCCTGTTCTGTTCTGAGCGTTGCTATTGGTCGATTATTTTTGTTAGCCAATTGCAACGCCCAGAACAGAACAGGAAGTTAGGAACTTGTAACAGGAAGTTAAGAACTTCTAACAGGAACTGAGGAAAATGTTTTTGGCTTTTAGCAACATTGCAAATTCCCTCAAGGGATTTGCAAGGGAGTTTTTTAAGTTGCAAAAGTAATGAGGAAAATTGCAATCAATTTAGAAACTCAAAAGAGGAACGCTTCACGTAGTTTACCTGTAAAGGTATAATTCATAATTGCATTTTTCAGTGTTAAATATTGAAGATTGTATAACCTATTTTACACAATTACTACAATAATTTTTTCAGTTACTTAAATTATTTTGAAATTATTTATTTCTAAATTTGACAAATTTTAAAGTCAACATGCAGTTAATAAACGATTCAATTAAGGTTACAGAACACCTTTGAGGGTTAATTTTGCCTAAAATTTCTTTCCATGAAAGCATTAGACTAGTTCTACTATCTGACCAAGTTTGAACGAAAAATGTTGAAAACTCGAGTTATTTAATAAAATACATTTCGCTGCAATAAGAAAAACATTGAAAATGTAATATTCAAATTCAATTTTCTCCCGAAGAATTTTACGGTAATTACTGATTTTCAAACGAGTTGTGCTCCTGCGGGTTTTGACCAAGTTTTCTCAAATTCTCACAGGGCATAGCTAAAGACGTCAGTTTCAAAATTGTGTTCGGCTTTTTTTAAATTTTGGATATTTTAATAATAAAGAGCAATTCACTCAAACAATTCAGAAATATATTGCAGTCGTCAAAGAAATCGCCATATCAGCGGAATGACGAAATAAACAAAAATTTCCGAACACAATTTTTTAGAACAACTATTTTACTGTATAAAAATGATATTTTCATAAATATAACTTAAAACCAACAGGAGCACAACTCAAAAGCGTAACGGTACCGCGATTTAAGATTTCCCTGAACAATTCTTATATTATTTTATTGTTTGTTAATTTTACAACTTTACCATATTTTGCATACACTGGCGAACATTTGGTGAAAATTTGATTCAAATCGGACTGATATTGAGCGCGCAGCAACGATTTTCCGCAAAACGCTAAAAAGGGTGTCCTGTAACCTTAAATATGATGAAAACCCCTATTTATCAAAATTAATTAAGGGTTTTAATGGTTTCAGGGGCGCCGGAAGTGACATGAAGCGGCGGGGGCAGCCATATGAAAAGGGCACTTACTCTTGATCCTTAATTTTTGTGCGGGGTGGGGGGAGGGGGGGCAATGCTCGTTAACATTTTGCTGTATAACGGATACTTAATTACTTGTACCTAATACAGTTAGACAAATTTCGGCATAGATTGGAACATTTTTATTCGTTGCATGACACTAAAGACTAAAATGTATTGTAAAGCAACATGACAGTTGTCAGTTATTAGGTAACCGGTCGTTTCGCCAACGAGTCGTTTCGCCAACTGTCAGTTCGCCAACGTCTCGGGTCGATTCGCCAACGGTCCTCCACGTTCTTATGTCAGTTCGCCAACGCAACGTTTAATCATGGATTGTAAAATAAACAATCCATGGTTTACAATTATTTTACAATCCATGGTTATTTAATAGTTCACGTCTTTCTAATGTGAAACCATGAAACGCAAACAATGTTTGCAGAAAATATGTTGGAACGTTGGTGATCAAAAGCGTCACTAGCTCTCAGTCTGTTGTGAAATTTTGTTAATGAAGAGTATGGCTAATCTTCGTAATTCGTATTGTTTGACTCTCAGTTTGAAAACTTTTCAGTTGTGTTTACTTGAATGGTATATCATATGCATAAAAACTTTCGCATTTCGTGAGTTATAGCCCTTGTTTAGCGTCCGCTGATTAAACCTGTTTTAGACCGTCTAAACATAAATGTCTGGAGAATTTGCTATTTCGGTTATTTTCTACAAACATTTATAGATTTATATATCCATGCATGTCTCATATATATGTAACGTTTGCGAACTGACATAAGAACGTGGACGAACGTTGGCGAATCGGCCTGAGACGTTGGCGAACTGACAGTTGGCGAAACGACTCGTTGGCGAAACGACCGCAATTCATTTAGGAAGGTTTACTTTTTTACTTTTCATATTAGGTGGAAACTGATTGGTAACGTTTCTGAGAGGAATTCAGATTCAAGTATGAGCTAAATTGTTTAAAAACAGTTTTCAATTTCAATTCATGTGAAAAACGCACGACGTTCGAAGTGCAGTTTTGGTAAAAAGGCAACGTGCTACCCCGCACTGTTTGGGCAACGGGGGCAGCTGCCCCCACTGCCCCTGCATGGTTTTTAAGCTTCTGTACAAACACTGGTACGTAATATGCACATAAAGAAGTTCATTTAAATTACCTGGAACATAATTCACATCTGTACTGAAACTGACAAACTTTTCGATGGTATTCTATCACAGGAGTCCAATCCAAATTACTTTCTTCAAAGTAACCTCTCATTTCTTGGTCAACCTACAAACAAATTAAGGCCGGTCCCAATTATTAGAGGGTTCAAGCTGTCAAGTGGAGGAGGCAATGTTTTCTATTAAATAAAATTCAGCAATCAAATATAGTTGACATACAAATAATCAATAAATTGTTATACCTGTATACAATTTTCACAGCATTTGTTTTCACACTTGCAAAAATTATAACGATTGATTCTTGTGTGCCACTTTTGCTTTTCACGCACATGCATAACGTTTTCAGCATTTTGGGGGTTTTGTTCTGGTTGATCCTGTGGACTCTCAGCCATAGGCACCTGCATTGCCATCATTAGAAACAAGCATTAATGACAGTGAATGAACTCGATAATAGATCGGTTTGTACATGCCTTGGTATATAATATGGCTTAACGATTATACTCTGTCTAATATGCCAAACAATTCTATATGTATATGAGGTTATGTATTAACCAAAGTTAATAGCTAGTGAACCATGTGTGATCTGGAAATTGGGTGTCACTGTCAAGGTGTGCCTTGCATTGCATGTGCTTCTCGCACAACATATAATCAATAGCTGTTTGGTACACAAAGTGTACAGACGGACATATCCAAAATAAAGCGAAAGGTTTAAAATCCTCCCATCCCACCTTTTGTCAAAGAGGGACGCAGAATTAGGTATTGGCTCATATCATTCGATTTTTTTTTCACCACCATTTGTAATGGTGTGATGGGTGCAAGCTGCCTGAATGTGGTTGCCAGTTCAAGACACCACTTGCATGGATCTTTCCTTAATCCACCTCGATCAACAGTTTGCACCTTATCTTCCAATTTGGTAAGTAGGGTAATAAGGGTACTCAAAGATTTGGTGGCTATATCTATGGTGAATGTAGATATTAACTCTCAATTGGTCTACTGCTGATTCAGTTACGAAGCGACCTTTTTTCTTTGTCAGCATCCGTGTTGCCAAGTCTTGCTGACGTAATAAGTGGTACGGAAAAACGAAAAAGGTCGCTTTGTGCGAAAAAATTCGCTAGTGGAAAACAAGCTTATAACGCCTGACAATTTTACTAGTCAGGGGGAGAATGCTGCCACTCAATGGGCTAAATTAATCAAGACTATATCTGCCTATGCACCCTGTTAACCCTTTAAGTGACAATGCACCCAGATGCACTCTACTTTATTATTTTACTCTGTCTAACTCCAGACAATTTTACTTGTCAGGGGGAGAATGCTGCCACTCAATAGGCCAAATTAATCAAGACTATCTGCCTACGCACCATGTCAACCCTTTTAAGTGACAATGCACCAAGATGCGCCGTAGCTACTTTATTATTTTACTCTGTCTAATGCCAGACAATTTTACTAGTCAGGGGGAGGATGAGGAGAGTGCTGCCACTCAGTGGGTTAATCAGACTATTTGCCTACGCACCCTGTTAACCTTTTAGGTACAATGCACCCAGATGTGCCATACTTTATTATTTTACTCTGTCTAACACCAGACAATTTTACTAATCAGGGGGAGAGTGCTGCCACTCAATGGGTTAAATAATTTTAAGATCATAATGTCCCATCACATCTTCAATTTTCATCATTTCTAACAATATCTCAGGACATCTGGTGGCCCTGACTTAGCCTCTTGATTATATCCCTTTCCTTAGATTATTAGCCTTTGGATCGCTAACATGTTGTTGAAGACAGGGGGTTTTAATATCTCCTGCAAAGTATTTCAAAAAACCATATACCTCAACATCTGTATCAGATGATCTTTTCTTTTGTTTTCTTTTTTTCTGTTTCAAAACTTTCTTACCATGATCGTCATACTTTTTTTGAGCTTTGTTGTCTTCGTCACTATCATCACCACCCCCGCCACCTCCCCCACCACCTCTAGGATGATCAGGTGAGGTTGAAATGGCCAATCCTGCATTGGCTGGACCAGGTGAAACACATTCTTTGGCACAGCCATTGTTACAAGTAGTTTTTTCACCACTGGGGTTGCCCACATGTTTGGGACTTGAGTTCTCCTTTACGGGAAAGCCTAAAACAAAACAATTAAGCAAAACAACCAAAACAAAACAGCTAAAACTACTGAAATCACCGAAAAACTGCCAGTCCAATAAAAATTGACAGTCCAGTAAAAAAGTAGCCACCGGAGCTTTGACCTTATTTGGCGGCAGAGCTTATGGGGTGAAACTAGAAATTAATATATGGCTAGCCAACATACTATGCTATTTTGTGATATGAGCAAACCAATAACAATGTGAGGTAAAAATATTTGAGCAAATCAATCACAATGCGAGGTAAAAATAGTGAGTGATTAAAGAACAGGTGTTTTATTGCCGTTGCCATTAATTAATATTGCACTATCCCTGGGAATCAAAGTGGCTCTCCACCAATGGAAATTTTGCATTGCTTAGACAACTCAAAAACATAAAATATAGTATAATATGTTGGCTGGCCATATTTCTAGCTTCACCTCATAATTCCCAAATACAGCCAAAGCTGCCATTAGCCCGTAGGGCAAGGTTTGTACAAAAAGACCAAGGTCCGATATTTCTCTGTACATACGAGCAAGAGAGGTTAATAAAAAGTTTATTATTAATAATTATTAAAAAAAGTTCGTTATTTATAATAATGGAGTGCTGAAAGTGCTTCTCAGCCAATCACAGTCCGCCATTTCACCATAAGTGATGCTTATAATTGCCATATAATAATAATCAATACAATTATGCGAATGTATGAGTAGAATGTCCTGTTTTACCCTTGCTACGTACCAACCAATTTGTTCCCCTTAGGATTGCTTACTTGCAAATTAATCACTGCTTATAAATGCAAGTTTCTCAACAAAAAACCACAGGGAGCCCAAACATTGATCTGTGTTAGTGTTGTATGTTTTTCACTTTATTTATCAGTTAGTGTCTTTATATTGCCTTTTAATTTAATTATAACACTAAATTACACTAATATGTCATATAATAATAATATTCCTATAGTCGAACATATAATAACAACATATAAGTTGATTTGTATTTGTATGTTTTTCAGTTTATTTATTTAAGATCTATTATTAGCTTATATAAAAGCACCGCCTTTCGAACCTGACAGCCCGTTCGCAGGCTACATGCGCGATTTGAAATAGGGGGCGGCAACAATATAAATACGTGACAAGGGATGAAACTCTTAAAGTTTGTCGTATAATGAATGCCCCGACTTGAGTGGACCAATAATTATGCAATGAGTGTTGTGTCGAATAATGCCGTCAACATTTAGGAATCAATGATATAAACAAGGAAGCAAACTCGAATACAACTCAAGGTGAGAAGCCAATTTGTGTCAATCGTAACGATTTCAATGTTTAAAATTTAAAATTAAATAATTTAGGTACAGTCAAGTCGGGCGTTAATGCTACGAAACGTCGCTATTAAAAACTATAGCAATTTATAAGACTAGAGGGCTTTTATTTCACAAAATTTTTCAATGGCTATGTACTTTAGCCTTAGACATATCATTCATATGGCCGAATTTCAAGCTAAAATTCGTTTTAACAAGCACATACGGCTTCAAAATAAAACATCGCCGTATTGTAATTTCATCCCTTGTCACATTTCTTATTTTAGTGCGAAATAACGTGTGTATCCTGCGAACGGGCTGTCAGGTTCGAAAGGCGGTGCTTTTATATAAGCTAATAATAGATCTTAAATAAATAAACTGAAAAACATACAAATCAACTTATATGTTGTTATTATATGTTTGACTATAGGAGTATTATTATTATAAGACATATTAGTGTAATTTAGTATTATAATTCAATTAAAAGGCAATATAAACTAAGACACTAAAATAAATAAACTGAAAAACATACAACACTAACACAGATCAACGCTTGGGCTCCCTGTGAAAAAACCCACCCAAATGTAAGGCCACCATGAGTGTTAACCCATGGGCTTATTGAGGGTGGATTTTCACTTATTTAAAAAGAGGGGTAGAAAAATTTCTGGTGGGGTGCAAGTGGCACCACTCAGTAAGCTTCGGCAGGGTTAGGCATTTGGAAGTGAAATTTTGGTGGGGATGAACACTTTATTAGAGGGGTTAGAGAGATTCTAGGGGGGTTAATGCATAAGAGTTTACTGAAAAGGTCAAATCTTGAGATCATTGAAAAATTTAAAAATATGTGAATTGTGAAATTATTTAACTTTCGGCATTTAATATTTCTATGTTCACTGTGAAAAGCTAATCTCGACAGTGTGAGTGTTATCAAATCAGCATATTATCAGTGCATAAACGCTATCTGATTACAGCTCTTATAATTGACATATTTTAATACAGATTCGGCTATTATATGCAGCAATTATGATACATACAACAAACATGATCAGTTCCGCTATAGTACACAACAAACTATAAAGAATAAAACGTTTTTAAATAAATGTAAATGATCCATAATACAAAATTTTATTGTATTTGTATTAGGAATGTTCGGTATGAGAAATTTCCGGTATCGGTACACCGAAAAAATTATACTGATATTATCGGTATACCGGTTTTCCTTTGATAATTATAAAGGAAAATTCTTTAATGGAAATTTTAAGGAAATTTTGAGTAATTCTAAAAGGTAAAACAATAATTTTGAAGCTGTTTCAAAATCTAAATCATTTCAGTAGAAAGTTCTTTGAATTGCCATTCAGTAGTAAAATAAAGGTTATGGTTTTGCCATATAGTTGGTAAATGTAACACGGTATACCAAAAAATTCCAGTATATCGGAAATTTCGGTATATCGGAAATTTCGGTATATCGGTAATTTCGGTATATCTGAATATCCGGTATCGATACACCGATATTGATTTAATACCGATATTTTCGGTATATCGAACAGTCCTAATTTGTATATGCCATCTTACCACCTCCCGCCTTCCCACCTTAGGCCTCCTTAGCATTCCTTAATAGCCTTCCTTGGGCCTCCTTAGACCTCCTTATGAAAATGCAAAACTATTTCAAAACGCTGGAAATGCCATTTTATGCAGAGACCCAAATTTTGGTTTAATATATTGTTATGTTACCGACACCAATATGTGCACGCATTCGTTCCGTAACATAACGATATAACCCAAATTTTAAACGTTTTCCAAGGGGTATGCCTCCGGACCCCCCTAGAAATGCGGGACCTCACACATGATCTGACAACCTTGGCAATTAGCTTTGTAATTATGGACAGGTATTTATTAACAAGCCCAAGGGGAGTTCCAACAACTTGTTTATTATGTGTTTATATACTGTATGTTCATATTTCCTTTACTATTACTATTACTGTTACAATAAATATTATTTACACCAAATGTCGTCCGTATATAAGCCCACACGTGCATAAGTCCATCATTAAAAAATGCTTACGAACGAATATATTAAGCCCTGGGCTTTAAATATTCGAAATTTAACGCCATTTTTTTTTACATTGACCGAAACAAATAAAATTATCATTGGAAATCGTCCCAAATCACTGCAAAAAACTACAAAGTATGAATCTACAGGTTTGGATGAAGAAATATGCATGACTTTGGTTTCAATATATCGTAAAATAAACCAGAAATGTTATCTCAAATGTTCGATAGACAGCCGGTACGTCACAAAAACTTGACATATTTAATACAGTAAAATCGAATCAAAATATCAACACACGAACAATATTTAGTCTGTAAATATACAGGTTAAACAAGTGCTTTCAGACAAAGTTCAATACAGTACACAATGATAGTCTGTTTTGAGATTTATTTTAGGCGTACAATAACAAAGCAAATGACAAACTTGTACATTTAAAAATTCTCAAAATCCCCCAAATTTGTATTATTATTATTACTGTAATCTAGAAGGCGTTATTAGAAACTCACCATTTTCACCATCTCCCACGTTTCTTTTATCTTCTGTGGGTAAACTTTCAACAGGATCTTCTTTGTTTGGAAAGAGAATTTCAATTTCGTCTGCGTTGTTGAACAGACGAAACTGCGAATTATGAACGTCGATATTCTTGCGTTGATATAACCTCGGAATATTCGTTGCCGCCGAATCTAAATCACCAATATATTTGGCTAATGGCTTTTGTTGGCAATTAGCAGAATTATTTCCGACTGGAGGAGACATTGTTTCTTCTTTATTACATATAACTTCGGAATAAATTCAATAAAAGTTTCCCCTCAAAATTTTTCTTTGTCGTTTGACGCTTTAAAATATTCTCGGCTCGACACAGGCCCCAATCAAACAAACAAACACATCTATCAGGCAGTTTATATAAAAAATTATAATACCGATGATTGGCCGAATTGTCATAATATTTTGCTAGTTATTTTTGTAGTTTTTGAAATACAAAGCATGCTAGAAAACCATTTTTTTTTTAATTTTTGTACTGCAAGCAAAACGATTTTAGGGAATTTGAGAACGGAAAATGACAATCATTTACAAAAAAAAAACCCTTTGAAAAATGTTCTTATTTACATTGTACAATTCCGGTATGTTCCCGGGCAAACATTACAGTAATTTGATGTATTGGAATTAGTGAAAATTATCCACGTGATGGCCACATGATTATGCACATGATGGCCACATGGAGAGAACATCACAGAGCCACCCAACCTGCGAACGGGCATATTCTGGGTACGAGATGCGAAATTAGAAGTTAGAATGGGAGGATGGGATGGGAGAACCAAGAAACAATCAGTAGCAAAATAGCGTTTTTGGTTATAGCATGTTGATATTACACACGTAAAAACGCACAAGTTGTTACAAATCTGTTCACAAGCTGTTCACAAGCTGTCAACAAGTTGTCTTCGCACTGCTTGTTCCCAGTTGTTGTAACAAGTTTGGTACAAGCTGTTAACAACTTATAATAAGCTTGACGGCAATATCAGTCACGATATAACAAGAATGTTACAAGGTTGACGACACAAGCTTGGAACAACTGTATCGGACTTGTAGGAATAACCTTGCAACAAGTCTCATAATATCAACAAGGTCATTACAAGTTGTTAACAGCTTGTTCCAAACTTGTTGACAACTTGGGACAAGCAGTGCGAACACAACTTGTTGACGGCTTGTTGGCAGACTTGCTACAGGATGAGATTTTTACGCGTGTAGCGTTTTCCAAAACAATAGTAATTGTAGGGAACTCTGCAGCCAAGTAGTTAATTAATTTTTACTGTAAGCAATAAGTGGACACCTTCGGGTAATAGGGGTTTGCAATGCCGAACACAGCAGGAGGTAACACCCAGCTAATTCAGAAACAGTAGTGACTAGGTAAACGTGTCAACACTCAACGGTGGGGCTGGTTATGCTGTGAAGCTTCCCTGCGAGTTCAAGTTGAAGTACTTTTTTAAAGAAATCATTGGGACTGATACCGTGGTTGCTACAGGTTCTCCTATCTTTCGCCTTAATTATTCGAAAGATACGAAAACCTCTGGCCGACCAGAGTATGGGACCGGGGGTGTGACCGTTAATAACTTAGTAAGGGTTCGACTGTATTTCAAATTTGTCAACAGTCTATTAGACATGATATCACACCAAATTGCGTTCAGTCCCAGGGGCGTAGCTAAGGGGGGGGGGGGGG